CAAGATCAATTACGTTACATAAGAACAGTTTAGAAGAAGTAATGGAAGTAGTATCATAATATAAAACAGGAAGACAAACGAGTGTACGAGTGTTTGTCTTGTCATAAAGCATTCTTAGTTTTTTACGTGTATATCACGCTTTTGTTAACTTCAAGCTTAAATGTTAAACTTTCTGGAATAGCTTTTGTTTCTTTTATTAATACCGCCTTTGACTGACACAGTATAAGACATTTTAGCGATGTTAAATTATTTGACACATTACAGATAAAAAGCAGAGGCAAGTAAAAGTTTTCTGTCATTGGTGTGCGCGAAATAGCGTTGCGGCCTTATAGTAACCAGCAGTGACAAGTAAAATGAACCGAGCGGCGTGACCTAAAGGCTTAGACCAGGAGTCGGCAACCTGCGGCTCGCGACCCACATGCGGCTCTTTGGATGTGAAGCTGCGGCTCTTTAGTTCCATACGAAAATATTATTTATTTTATCAAAAAAAAAAACATTTAAAAATCGTTCTCAATTGATTAACGAGGATTAAGCACTGATTCTATCTCTCAGCCACTTGTACTCGCTTTACACCGCATCCCAACAGTCTTCCAGATTGTTACAGTGAGGTGAAGAAGTTGGCATGTGGAGTGCTGACTATCCTCGGATCGACATATTCCTGCGAGCAAGCCCTTGCATAAATATAATTAAAAGTAAAGTAAGAAGTCAAATAACAAATGAAAATTTAGAGTCGTGTTTGCAACTTAAAACAACAAGTTATGAGCCAAATTTATCCAAACTTTCCAAAACCATGCAAAGCCAACACTCCCATTGAATTTGTTTGCTCAAATGTATGTTATTATTCTTTTTTTTTTTCTAACTACAAGTTACATTGTTCAGTAAAGTTTAAATTTTCTACTTGAATAACCATGCAAAGCCATGGCTCCCATTAAATTTGTTTGCTCCATTGTTTGTTATTAATGTACAAGTTAGTGTTGTATATAAATAGTTTGTCTAGGTGATCCAAGGAAACTACAGAAAAACTTAGAACAGGGCAGGCGGATCCGGAATCGAATTGGAGTCCTCCCAAATAATAAGGAATAGTCCAAATATCCAGGCCATGTCGCTGGATCGGAGTCTAGTCATCACAACGTTCTTATAAATAGATGCCAAAAATCCTGATTGGACAATACGTTCTCACTGGTGTCCGGCACCGTAAGATTCAAGATGACTATAGTGGGAAAAAATTAATCCACAATTGCTTGGAGTTGGAAGTTAACAGACAAAATTTGACTAGATATGTGTAGTAATTCTGGATTAATGTATACCTAGTTTATCACTTTTACTCTTGAATCATTTAGTTACGGATGGCCTGAGTGGGAGAAGACCCAAAATTGAATGTACTGATCCATGTGGTGTCCCACGCTATTTGCAAAAATATCTGTTAGGTACTTTGTCCAAATTGGGAGTTTTGCAATATTTCTCTCAATTACCATGATAGCTAAATTAGCATGCAGTCTAAGACATTCTTTAATTTTTCAACCTAACATAAACTAATATTATCAAAATCCTTAATCAGAAGGTGAAACATATCAGCAGTTTTAATTTGAAATCATTTTTTCGATTTTTTTATTTACCCACCACAAACTATCTCAAATTAATGAGGGAAAAATTGTTGCTGTTGTCACAACCTCGCCGGGAATCGAACCCGGGGCCCTTGGCTTTACACACCAATGTTCTACCATTAAACTACAAGAGGTGACAACAGCAACCACGACCAACCGACCTACAAGGTTAACGATCCGTCGATTTTTATTAACTTAATTATATATATTAAATATATGAAA